TGGGTACCGGGGAACTTAATCCTGGGAGGTGACCTTGTGATGGACTAGCATCCCATCCAGGGGGGAAGTGGTTCAAATACTCCTAGTCGCTTCATGCTATAGAAACCAGGATAAGCTCTAGCCTGGTTGGCTAGTCTTGTTTGTCGAGAAATGTTTTTATTTGAACCTGGTATTACATGAGGAGATTGAACTAGCCTGGGATAGACAACAGTTAGCTCAAAAAATGGATTAATTTAGGCATCATCGATTTTGGTGATGTTTGATCGGCAATTTACATGTAGTAACCAAACTATTACCTCTGCTATCCTATTGTTGCTTTTCATCATAACCTTTCAGTAAATAAAGTCAAGATTCTGGGATGTGGGATGATTGATATATAAACAGCCTCACCAAAAATTAGGTTTCTGCAGTTTTTCATTTGCGTTATTCAAAGAAGTGTTTCATCCAAATTTATAGAGCTTTGTATGGAGATGCCATATTGGTGCCCCACAAATATGGCAGCCGTAAAGTAACAGAAACATCTGTCATTGAGGTTTTTTTTTTGGTTTATTTTATTGCAAAATTTAATTTTTTTTTTCTCCTTCACTGAGTTTTGCTATTGAAATGAAAAGTTAGTACAGTGAATCCTTTATTAAGTGGACACCCTTGGGACTCTTATTAGTGTCAGCTTAATACAGGGTGTCTGCTCTAAGCAGGTTCTAATGTGTTGTGCAATAACAGTTAGTTATCAACCTTGATGTAACACAGTGTAACAGAGTGTAAGATCAAAGAATGCTCATAGCACAAAGTCCAGTCAGTCATTGCGTCAATCTGGAATAATCACTTAGCTTTAAAACGACATCGCTGAACAATGTTAAGGGAGTGTCAGCTTAACCTTTAGAGATAAAATGCCTTTGAAGTGTCTGCTTATTGCAGGTTTTGTACAACAAAATGGCTTAATATTGGTGTCTTAGTCCGCTTAACAGAGGTGTCCGCTTAATGCAGGTGTATCTTACAGTAAATGTGGGAAGAAAATTTAGGGACTCAAGCTGGTGTCAGCTTAATAGAATTATAGAGGGTGTCGGCTGAATATGGGGTCCTCTTAATACAGGTTTCGCTGTACTCTAGAGCTCCAACATGTTGAAATGAATACTTCTTCTAGTGCAAGAATTGTTCAGTTAGCAGAAACTTGAGCGATAACTGAGCATCTTTTGACCTATGTGACAGTCTTATCAGGTTGCCATTTAAGGTCATGCAACGCAAAAGCTTGGAAATTCAAACATGTTCTATTACAAAATGAAAATTCCTGTCGAACTAAAACATCGTAAAATACATCTGTAGTTCCCAAAGAGTCATATCTGATGAAACTATAACCTCCCAAGGAAAGG